TGCACGAGGCAGAGGAGGAGATGAGGAATTCACCAGGCAGAGGAGGAGATGAGGGATTCACCAGGCAGAGGAGGAGATGAGGGATTCACCAGGCAGAGGAGGAGATGAGGGATTCACCAGGCAGAGGAGGAGATGAGGGATTCACCAGGCAGAGGAGGAGATGAGGAATTCACTAGACAGAGGAGGAGATGAGGGATTCACCAGGCAGAGGAAAGAGCAATGGCACTGGAACTTAGGGCTGGGTGTGTAGGCGAATCAGTGTTTGATGAGAGAAGCAGAACGGCTAGCAGTAATATATAATAAGGGACTTACAGGGGTTTGGACTGACTATATCATTGTGAAGCTCTTGCTTATGTATCAGGAGCTGGGCCACAAGATGAGCAAAAACGTGCTGTGGCAGTGCCTTCCAGCAGAAAGAGACTGTGGCTGCTGCTCAGAATCTCCGAAAATGCCTCGAGGGCAACCGGGCATGAAAGGAAAGGAATTCTTTCCTGGAAGTCATGCAGCCTTCAGGTCCCTCACAGGACCAGGAGCTAGGAATTAAAAGCCCTGGGCCCACCATTTTGTTTTCCCACGTTGTCCGGCACACTTACAAGTACCAACCGTATTATACTCCCGCTTCCACCAAGTGCTGTATGGAAGTAAACACTTGATCAGAAAATGCCGTGCTTTTTATAGGCATCTGATTAAGGGTATCTACAGGCAATAATTTCACAAAATCTTCTGCTAATGTATGCTAACATCCTCTTTACCACTGTAAGAAATGACCATTAATACCTGTAAGTCTACTCAGCCCAGAGAACCAATTCCAGATAACCTGGAACCAACACAAAGAACTATCCTCATGGTTATGTCTCTCTGGAAGCTTCTGATACCAAATTCTGTTTCAATCAAGGTTCAGTCAGAGAAGGAAAACTATTAGAGATGATATATAAAAAGGGATTTATTATAGAGATATGATCTTAAGCAAATTTGGGAGCTGGTTAAACAGTCCATGTTAGGCTTGTTGCTTGTGTTTCTGATGCTGGGGCCTGAGGTTACCGAGGCAGTGGTTGGGAAGGCAAAATAAACTGGAATCTGTAAGGATGAACTGGAGCCCGCCAAGGCAGAGGGGAACTCGAGTCCATCTCTTACTGACTCCAGCCCTGACCCGGGTGTGAGCTGTGGGAGAAGCGGCACCTCTCTCAGGGAGCTCATCCACCCCTGGCCTAGGGGCCGGATAACCCGGGAGGAGGTCCAAGTGAGCTGAAGGCACCGTGGGCCTGCTGCCCAACAACAGAGAGGGGAGCCAGCGGACGAGCAACTGCACCTGGTGCCCTGCACCGAGCCCTCCAAGTGTAAACCGGACATGGCAGCTGCTGCTTCAGCGTTCACCTTCATGCCTCAAGGTCGCATGAGCCAAACTAACCCACAACTATGCAGGCAAGGGAACTCTGGAAAATATAGCGAAAGCTTAGTTCAATCTATATAAAACCAACCCCCAACAGATTTTTATGGTTGAGATGGGGAGTAACACGATGAAGCGAGCCAGTAAGGAGTTTAAACACAGCGGAGTAACTTGGACAGAAAGATGCCTGCTTTATAGAAAGATCAGAAAGAGGCAATATGGAACTGTTTGTTCAGGGCCACTAGATACACAGTCCCACTGTAAAGACAAGGAAGGAAACCATATCGTAAACCTCAGAGCAGTGGCTACCTGTGGAAAAGAGTATGGTCAGAAAGGGAGACCTGGGAGGCTTCAATATTGTGTTTTTTTTTAAGCAAAAGTGTGGAAAATTTATTACAAGCAGATTCAGACTCCCCGCAAAGGGAGGAGAACCCAATGGTGGGCTTGCCTGCCCGTTGAAGCCTTGTAGTCCAGGGGTATATATTTGCTATAAGCCTCCTCTATGTCCACCTGTGTCCTCACCTGATTGATTCCCTCAAATTGTTCTTGCCCCCCAACGGACCTAAACTTTCCCTGTTTCTATGTGCTTTCTCTGTCCCTGTGCTGAAGTTTCTCTGCTTGTATGCGCTCATACACCTTGTGACTGCAGGCCCTCCCCTGCCGGGTCCAACCCCAGCAAGTCCAGGGGGTCCCAAAGGTGTGGACGGAGTCGGCGAAGAAGGAATGACACGGAGGCAGCATTCAATTGATCAGCATGGTTGGGTTCTCTCGCCTGGTTCTAGCCAGGATCTCCAGCCAAGTTCTGGTTTGGTTCTGTGTAGGTTCTCTCGCTAGGTTCTCCAGCCAGGTTCGGTTGCCAGGTTCTGTGGCCAGGTTCTTCAGCCAGGTTCTGTCTAGGTTCTCCAGCCATGTTCTATAGCCAGGTTCTGTCCAGGATCTTTTGCCATGTTCTCTCGCTAGGTTCTGTCTCTAGGTTCTGTGTCAATATTCTATTTCTTGACCCATAATTACAGGTGTTCACTCTACAACTACTTGTTAATCTGGTCACTTAAGCTGTATATACTGCTTTCTGTGTTTGTATATTTCAACATGAAAAAAAAAATGTTGAGGAAAATGATTAGAGATGATTTGCAATGGACCGGAGGAAGTAAAGACAGTGAAGTCGGATGATGAGTTGGATCTGAATTAAGTGCAGTGGAAATAGGAGATGGCTTCTAGAAATACTGAGGACTCAGCAACAAAGTGATTGGAGAAAGAAAGGAAAGAGGAATCAAAGACGATCCTAGGTTTCTGGATTGAGCAACCAGAAGTAAGGGTTGCCTTTGATTAATATAAAGAGCAAAGAAGGAACCAGTTTGGTGGGAGGATGGGTGCATATTGGACAAAACAATAATAACACCTAATGACTGCTTATGATGTGCAAGCCACTCTGCTTTATATATTGTTCTCTCATTTAATCTTCAATAATACCTACTTTGACACCACCTGGTATGCTGCAATACAATTCAATAGTGATGCTCACTACCTGGAACTCAGATCAGATGCCAGAGGTTTAAGGGCTAGTTCCCAAAAATACTGCCCTTACTTCAGACACCAGCCTTTGGGGGTCCCCAGGGCATCTGCACTTCTGATAAACTGGCTACAAATTCAGGGGTCCCCAAGACTCCCTCAGGTTTATTTTACTAAAACAACTTACAGAATTCCGGAAAGCAGTATACAGACAGTCCTCAGGTTACATCGGACTTGATGTACGTCGTTTTTTGGTTACATCACCATCTCCCATTTATTTATTAAAAAAAAAAGAGTTCCATCATTTCGACATATGTACATATGTGCTTTATGTTTTTATTATTTATTTACCACAAGTAAAGGTCAGGAATTGTTATCTTTCTTTCAAACTTTTTTTACTGTTTCACTTCATTACTGCTGTGTATGTGCTCCATGTGAGTGACGCAGGTGCTTATGTAGGTGGGTTCCGACTTACGGTGAAAATGGCATTATGTTGCACCATAGGAATGGATCGCCTTACAAATGTAATTTCACTATAAAGTATACAAATCAGGACCAGCCAATAGGGTAAGGTGTGGGAGGATCGAAAGCTCAAAGCTTCTGTGCTCTCTCCCTGTGGGATCAGGGCTTGTCACACTCCCAGAGTATCAATGTGTTTATCAATCAAGGAACTCCACTGAACTTCAGTGTGAAGAGCTTTTATTGGGGGCTTCATTATATAGGCACTAGAGGCCCGATGCATAAAATTCGTGCAAGGGGCTCAGCCCTCACATCCCCAGCTTCGTCCAGAAGGTCGTCCAGATGGCCGTTCTGCTGTTTGGTCAATTAGCATATTAGCTCTTTATTATATAGGATGGTTGATTGAATCGCTGGCCACGTGACTGAGCTCAATCTCCAGTCCCACTCCTCTCCCTGGTGGTCTAAGAACCCTGTGGTCACATGGTTGGTCTGACTAGCCACATCTTGAATCTATCTAGGAGCCCATCATGAGTCACTTAATTAGCATAAATTAAAGTATACTCCAAGGAGCTCATGAATAACGAAGGCAATCCTGTTACTTGGGAAATTCCAAGGATTTTAGATTTATACCAGGAATTTTGAACAAAAACCAGTCTTTATTAAACAATACTCTTTGAGGTAGGTACTGTTATTATTCCATTTTACAAATAAGGAAACTGAGGTTTAGAGAGAATAAGTTACTTGTTTACAATCACATGGGAAAGCTACTCCAGAGCCTGAACTCTTAATTTTATATTATAGTGACTGAGTGCCTATGACAGGTGTTTCCAAATTAGAGTACTCATACCCTATGAGATATATAAGGAGATCCATGGGGATATGGGAAGAAAATATTTTTATCTTAAAAATAAAAACTTTACCAATATATAGGCTGATCATGGGACATTTACTAGTATACTGTTTATAAACAAATGTGCATCTTGAGGGGCATGCTCAACTCTTTACTTATGCACTATTTAAGTTTGGAGACCACTCTCCAATGAAATGTAGAAATAGCACATACAGTACATTGAATATACATGGGACCTCACACTCAGAAGAGAAATCTAACTTGCTTACCAGTGAAGCAACAGGTGTGAAAAGAGTTGAGATCAGAACTGCAGGGAACACCAACATCCAAGAGGAAGGCAAGAGGTAAGAATTCTGTCTAAGAAGCACAGGGAACAGACAGGGAGAGAATGCCCTGTAACGATGGAGGCAGAGATTGGAGTGCGTATCAACAAGCCACAGAACACAGCCACTGTCAGAAGCCAGGAGAGGCGTGGAGTAGATTCTCCCTCATGTCCTTCAGAAAGTAACAGGTCTGCTGATACCCTGACTTCAGACTGCCAGTCTCCAGAATCGTGAGACAACGTATTTCTGTTGTTTTAAGCCAGAGAGAGAGAAGGAAGAATTAGAAGCAGCAGCAGCACAGGGAAATGAAATGTCTTATAATTCTCTCTGAATCTAAGCATGTTATTTCCATCGATACCACAATAATTCAATTTAAAAATATTTGTCTTGAGTTCTATGCATCTACTAGAGGCCCAGTGCATGAATTCATCAGGGCGGATTGGGACTGGGCCTGTCGAGAGGAGATAGTGGGAGGTTGGCCAGCAGTCCCACCCTGATCAGGGGCCCAAACAGGGCCAGGCCAGCTTGGGGAAGGGGCCTCGGGTGATTGGACGGCAGGCCGACCAAGGGGAGGGACTGTGGGCAGTGTGTTGGCCAGCCCCACCCCCAAATGAGGTAGGGGTGCCGATTGGGGGCCAGCAGCCTGAGGGAGGGGCCATAAGTGGTTGGCCAGTTGGCCCTGACCCTGATTGGGGGGGAAGGCTGATCTGGGGTGGAGCTGGGTCCCCCTATTGGGGTGGGGGGATGTGATCAGGGAGAGGCCAGCCGGGGGGAGGGGCTGTGGGCCTATCATGGTGGGCTGGCTGATGGTGAGGAAGAAAGGGGGCGTTTGGCGAGCCACCCCATTCTTGATCAGGGTGAGAGAGTCCAATCAGGGGCAGGCTGGCAGCAGGAAGGGGGTGAGAGGTTGGCCGGCCAGCCCCACCCCCTGATTGGGCCAGTTCGCTGGCCACAGTGGGCGTCATAGCGACCGGTTGTTATGGTAATTATGGCCGTTACAGTCGCTGGCTTTTTATATATAGAGAGATGATAGCTATCATACTATTTCTTTAGAAAACTGTGCAGACACCTGCCTCACCTAGCTATCATGTTGAGATAAAAACTAACCTCCTGACCCTTTATCTTCTGTGCACTCTTTAAAGATATTAACAAGCAGGGTCAGAAAGAAAGGGGAAGGAAACTGCAGCAAAGGATTTAGTTTAGACAATCTACGAGATAGGTGATGCCTTGATATTGCTATGGACAAGAGCGGGGATGAGTTGTAGTTTAAATCTGACTCCTTAACTTGCTTTGGGTATAAACATCTGCTGACATCCCTGGAATTCACTGGAGCATCTACTCTGTTCCTCACCCTTTTCCTACTTCAGCCTTTCTGCATGACCCGAGGACCTCATATTATGGGAGATACACACCTATCTCATCTGCTTAAACTCATAGCTAGTTCACCCATTAGACTGTAAATCCCCAGAAGCAGAGATTAGATCTATTCACCTTTGTTTTCCTTGAGATACTGAGCAAAGCAGACACTGAATAGATGTTTGCTAAATTGAGGTGCCCATTATTTTTAATCTTAATACCTAGCCAGATATTTTCACTTTCACCAATATTTTAAAATTCAAACTTTAGGGTGGCATAACATCCTAAATCCAGACTTATACTAATCTCAAATGGCTCTTAGTTTTGTGTGTGTGTGTGTGTGTTTTCTGGAGCTACTTGTATAATCCAAGCCAAAACTTTGTAAGATGGAAAGTGTTGTTTGTTGATTTGTTTGTTTTAAATTGTGGGCTAGCTTTGAAAAAATGCAGGTGGGAGAAATTCAGTGTTTGTTCCCATGGATGCTCTATTGATATACATCTTTCTGTTTCTAGGTGTTCTCTATTCTATGTATAAGGATTACATTAGACCTCGATTCTTCAATGTGTCCAAAAAATGAAGCTGCATACAAAAAATACAAGAAGCCTTCTGAAAACTATTATGAGGAATGAATTTTCAATATGTAGCAAATTGTACTGCAGAAGTATTAGAGTTTTCACAGCCTGATATAGTAAGTCTCAATTGTTTAAGAAGTCGACTTCCAAAGCAATAATCATAGTCAACGCAAAAATATCCTTGGTGATGTCTTTCAGAACCTAGAGCAGCCGTGGGCAAACTACAGCCCGCGGGCCGGATCGAGCCTGTTTGAAATGAATAAAACTGAAAAAAAAAAAAGACCGTACCCTTTTATGTAATGATGTTTACTTTGAATTTATATTAGTTCACATAAACACTCCATCCATGCTTTTGTTCCGGCCCTCCGGTCCAGTTTGAGAACCCATTGTGGCCCTCGAGTCAAAAAGTTTGCCCACCCCTGACCTAGAGCATGATTTTCTGACTTAGATTTTTTTTTATTTTGTTGTTAGTGACAGAAAATAATCTATCTTATGACAAACCAACCTTAAAATTAGGAGTCAGCTATACATAGTGGCTACAGAAATTTTCTATATCCATATCAAATGTGACAATCTATACATTGCTTAATTCTCCCCAAATAATTAAGGCTTTCATAAACTCACTTTTAGAATGGGCAACAATTACATCAGAAGAGAATGGTCATGTTATTTAAATTTGGTTCACCACTGTGCACCTCACCCTTATACAGAAACTTCACTATTCTACCACAAACATAAATGTTCAACATGGATATATCTGTGTACTCATTTTTATATTTCTTGAAAGTATTTCTAAGAGTATGACAGTAAATTGCTAAAAAAAAATGTTCCTTTTCCCCCAGATGGTAATATTGCAGGGATGAAAGGATTTAGTCCAGACATGCTATTGCTAACCTCGTATGACACTGTAGAAAACACAAGAAACCAAAGTAGGCATTACACTTTAAATAGTCTCTGGCCTCAAAGTCCTCTGTAACTGCCCTAGGGTTCTCAAAAGGTTTATTAGACTGTGTTGAACTCATAACTGTCATGACTCAGATTTACTCCCTAAGACTCCAAGCCTGGAAGAGAAAAGAAACAGCCTGACCGGCATGGTTCAGTGGTTGAGTGTTGATCTATGAACCAGGAGGTCTCGGTTCGATTCCGGTCAGGGCATGGTCAGGACACGGAGTCCACAGACCAGGTTGTGGGCTCGATCCCCAGTGTGGGGGCATAAGGGCAGTAGCCAATCAATGATTCTCTCTCACCAATGATGTTTTTATCTCTCTCCCTAACCCTTCCTCTCTTAAAACCAATAAAAAAATTTTTTTTTTAAAGAGATTCACTGAAATAAAATCAAGAATGCACTGTAAGCCTGGCTGGAGTTGCTTAGTGGTTGAGCATCACCTATGAATCAGGAGGTCATGGTTGGATTCCCGGTCAAGGGCACATGCCAGAATTGCAGGCTTGATCTCCAGTAGGGGGCATGCAGGAGGCAGCTGATCATTGATTCTCTCTCATCATTGATGTTTCTCTCTCTCTTTCTCTCCCTCTTCCATCTTCTCTGAAATCAATAAAAACAATATATTTTTTTAAAGGCCCTAGCTGGTTTGGTTCAGTGGATAGAGTGTCGACCTGCGGACTGAAGGGTCTCGGGTTCAAGTCTGGTGAAGGGCACATGCCCAGGTTGTGGGCTCGATCCCCAATAGGGGGCAAGCAGGAGGCAGTCAATGATTCTCTCATCATTGATGTTTCTATCTCTCTCCCTCTCTGAAATCAAGAAAAATATATTTTAAAAAAGAAAAACAGAATGTAAGACATTCTTTGTGGTGATTTCCTCTTCCTTGCTGTTTCCTGTACTGGAGGGTTATTCTGACAGGAAGGTGAAGTCTAGTATCTGAGGAAGTGAAATGTAGGGATATCTGAAAATGTAGGGATGTCTGCATTCTAGGTATTAGTCCACTGTTCTGTGTATTATATACACTTTTCCCTATTGGGACAAGTAATTATTTTAAAAGTTGTCATTTGTATCTATCATGAAGCTCTTTTAGTGCCACCAACAAATACACATTTTGGTCAACACTGTCCTCATTGGAAAACAGGCAAGGAAAGAATTCAACTACTTTATTCCATTGAAGAAAATATTCCAGCAACTACATCTAATATGTTCCATGAAGGTCAGGAAATTTGAAGACAGCTGGCACAGAATGCCATGCTGCAAAGACCCTCTTTTAAGAAAGGTTACTTTTCATGTTGATTGCACAATGAAAAGATAAGGCTACTGGAAAGATTCCACTCTCTCAATAAATACTCAGCATTAAAAATAGATTAGCTCAGCGGGCATGGCTCAGTGGTTGAGCGACCTATGAACCAGGAGGTCACTGTTTGATGCCCAGTCCAGGCAGATTCCCGGGTTGTGGGCTCGCTCCCCAGTGGGGGGCGTGCAGGAGGCAGCCAATCAATGATTCTCTCTCATCATTGATGTTTCTATCTCTTTCTCCCTCTCCCTTCCTCTCTGAAATCAATAAAAGTATATTTATATAAAAAAAAGATGAACTGAAGTGTTTAATTAGAAATGTTTTTTCCCCCACAAAACCCAGAAGGTTCCAAAATTAATCTTACTGAGAGAATTAAAGTAATATATTTATTGCTTGAAAAAAGCAATGCAAAGTATTTATTTATTAGAGTAGCCATGCATGAGAACTCACCAATGATGTTATCACACATGGAGAAAAGTATGCAGGATTCTGATTTACCACATAAGCTTGGGTAAAGAGGGAGGGCCAGTGCAGGAAGACCCTATGAATAGATAATATACAGCACCTGAATTTGCACAATACTTCTGGGGCAAAGCTTTGGTGGCTTAAAGTCATAATATTTACACTTGAGAAGGGTATTTTCATTGGCTACTGAAACCTTACTGCCTCACTTATGAATGCCTTTTGTATTGAGTGACACACAGTTATGGGGCAGCAGCTGCTCTGTAGCCACTACAGACAGTCCTCGGGTTACATTGGACTCGACGTACATTGTTTCGTGGTTACGTCACCATCTCCCATTTATTTATTTAAAAAAAAGTTCCGTCATTTCGACGTATGTACATATGTGCTTTATGTTTTTATTATTTACTTACCACAAGTAAAGATCAGGAATTGTTATCTTTAAATTTTTTTTACTGTTTCACTTCATTACTGTGTATGTGCTCCATGACACATGCACAGCAGTAATGTGTTATACACAGTGAGTGACACAGGTGCTTATGTGGGTGGGTTCCGACTTACGGCGAAAATCGAGTTATGTCGAGCCGTAGGAACCGATCTCCGACGTAACCCGAGGACCTACTGTTTTTAATTGCATTTTTCTGTCATTCTGGGCATACAATGCCAGAGCATCATTTTACAAACTGACTTAAACCCCAGGGACTGAGTGAGTGTACACATAGGCAATTCTTCCAATTAAATATATTATCTGTATACGCACATAATATAGAAATCCAGACTTTTAAATCATAAACTAGAGAATGATTAAATGTTCTTAACTTAGCAAAAATGTTTACCCAAGACTCACCCTTTAGACATCAATCTCTTCAACTGGTTTTAACATGATTCCGTTTGCTTTATTATCAAATTTTCTAATTACAGGAGTCATAGGACCTGAAGGGTAACTTTTATAGGTTTTTATGAACTCTAGTCTGTTCCCAGTAATAATATACAGTTAAAGAATGAAGAAGAGCTACAGAAACCCTCCAAGGATATAATCTCTGTTTAACCAACTACCTCGTCATTTTATGAGTTGCAAAACAACAACAAAAAATTTTTTTTGGCTTTTCTTTTCTTTTCCCAAACATCCTCTTGGAATGTTTCTACTGGGAAATGAAATTGTCCAAGGAGGAAAGAAAATGCAACCAATTGTTTTGAGTTGCTATCTGTGCATAAAGAAACCAAAACAGTGAAACTCATTTTAAAAGTCTATTTTTAAAGTGAAAGTTGCTAATTGATGTTAATTCAGTTTCATTTTTAAAATCGGAAGGACTCTAACTTGGGTTACAAGGCTGCTGCTCTTATCAGAAGTTGTAAGGGTCCCTGAAGTAGAAATGAGGGGTTTTTAAAATACCATCTTAGATGGCCAAATCACTATAAATGAAGATAGGCAATTATTCAGATTTTTTAAAAGTCTTATTGAAAGGTACTAAGTTTTAAAATAAGAGAAGTCAGAAATTTAACTTTTATGTTGAAGGAAGAAAATGATGCTCAAAGTCACACAAAGGCTGCAGGGTTTACAAACTCAATGCCTTTGGGGCTGGAAGGAAATGAGCGAAGGGGTGTATCCACCCTGAAGCATATCCCATTAAAATGAATAGCCCTCATGGCCGGTGTTCGCAGTGGTTAGAGCACTGGCTAGCACACGGAGTTGTCTCGGGTTTGATTCCCAGTCAAGGGGATGTACCTGGGCTTGCAGGTTTGATCCCCACAATTGGGTGTGTGTGGGAGGCAACCAATCGATGTCTCTGTCTCTCTCTCTCTCCCTTTCCTTCCCTTCCACTCTCTCTAAAAATCAATGGAAAATATATCCTCAGGTGAGGATTAACAAAAAATAAAATATGGATAGCTGTGCCTTGGCTCAGTTGTGTCGTCCTATGCATCAAAAATGTTGCCATGCCCTAAATGGTTTGGCTCAGTGGATAGAGCGTCGGCCTGCGGACTCAAGGGTCCCAGGTTCGATTCCAGTCAAGGGCATGTACCTTGGTTGCGGGCACATCCCCAGTGGGGAGTGTGCAGGAGGCGGCTGATCAGTGTTTCTCTCTCATCGATGTTTCTAACTCTCAATCCCTCTCTCTTCCTCTCTGTAAAAAATCAATAAAATAAAAATATATTTTTAAAAATGTTGCCAGTTTTCCCCAGCCAGTGTTGCTCAGTGGTTGAGCATCGACCTATGAACCAGGAGGTCACAGTTCGATTCCTGGTCTGGCCACATGCCTGGGTTGTGGGCTGAATCCCCAGTGTGGGGCATGCAGGAGGCAGCCTATTAATGATTCTCTCTCATCATTGATTTTTCTCTCTCTCTCTCCCTCCCTTCCTCTCTGAAATGAATAAAAATATATTTTTTAAATGTTGCCCATTTGATCCCCAGTAGGGGTCGTGCAGAAGGCAGCTGATAGATGTTTCTTTCCCTCTCTCCCTCCTTCCCTCTCCCTCCCTCTCACTAAAGTCGATAAAAACATATATATATGAATAGCTGCCATTCAGACCCAGCCAACTGCACTCCCAGGCAGGAATGTGAGCCCAGTGTGGAAAACCTTCCGATTTTACAGATAATCATGCAAAAACTTTCCATTTTTAAATATTACACTTTTATTATAAAAATTTTTAAGGAAAACAATCCTGGTTAGGAAGAGGGGTCAAAAAATCTATAAGCCACACATGGGCCGGCAGTGTGTGACATATGCACTAATCTTCCAAGTGCCAGTCTAGTTCTAGTCTCATATTACTACTTGGTATAAATATATTGAAATAAAATGCTTAGCATTCCCTAGGAGATTCAACATTAGAAATATAAGCCACTCCTAGAAATAAGCTTTGGACCTAGAAATGATGTTGGACTGTTAATGGCAAAAGTGGGAAGAAAAGACATGGTGGGGCTATACAACTTTTAGAAAGAAAACGAATACCTCCATTATCTTGTTGGGACTTGCAAAGTTAAATAGTAGGTTCTTATTTTCATACCTAAACCTTGAATGTTAGAATGGGCTGCATTACATAATACAGCATGGAAAAATGATCATTGGTTAAAGTACGGTTTCTGGCCCTGGCCAGTGTGGCTCAGTTGATTGGAGCACTGTCCTGTAGACCAAGAGGTAGTGGGTTCAATTTCCAGTCAGGGCACATACCCAGGTTGCAGGTTCAATCCCCAGTTGGGGTGGGTGCAAAGGCAACCGAACGATGCTTTTTTCTCTCTCTCTCTCAAATCATTTTTTTTTTAAAGTATGGTTTCTGGATCTTGTTACTAGGTATTAAGCTCTTTGGAAAATACCATCATACTTCTGAAAAAAAATTCAAGAAAAGCAACAAGAAAATAAAGCATACTGATAATTAGGATTAAATATGATTGCCAAATGTCAGAAATATTTTCTTTAGAAATGATGTGCCAGTACCATTAGTTACTAAGGGTCTGGTTGATTAAAATTGAAATGAACTTTAACTGGCCACAGTCAAGCACCACTTTAAAAGGTAAGTCATTTGGACCAGTTCAATCTGAAAAAGAGTGTTACTCCCTTTCCTTTCTCACTTGTGATCCAGATAAAACAGGTATCTGATTTGTCTGAACAATGTGTTTTTTAAAAAATATAAAAAATCTATTTTTATAACCTTTAAACTCTACCCAAACTGTTATGTTCAGGTCCACTTAAATACATACACTTTTTTCTTTTTTTCTTTTTTTTAAATTCCAGGAGTTAAGACACAAGCCCATAGGGGTGTGTGGCCATCACAGGCCCATCAATTAACTCCCGGCTGTTGTAGGATTGTTGTGAGGTGGGCGGGTCTCTGACCTACACTTAACAGCTGTCAGCTTTTAACAGTCTTCCCATGAGGAAATCTTTGCATTTTGTTCAAAACATTTGAACAAAACTCACCTCTGAACTAACAGAGGTATGTTAAGGGGCACTTGGACTACGAGAAAATGGTTCTTATACAGTTTCGCAGGCTGTCAGTCATCTAGACACAAGTGAGTCGGCATCCACGGTGTTCAGAAGGTAGAGTTCAGGCTGAACTGTCAATCCCACGTGGTACTAAGGACAAAAAGATGGAAAGGGTTAGACTGACTTATATTTAAATATTAAAACTCTCACTTAAGTATCTATAAATAGCATATCGATATAGGCCTTTTTTTTCAGTACTGCTACATTTTTATTTCAGAAAAGAAATGGCTTACCGATACATAGTTTATAGTATTAAAAAAAAATAGCTAGGAGCTGAAATAGTTAAGGATTGCAGTAGTGCCAAATGTCCTTAGCACAGTTGACACTTGACTGTTCTTATAACATACTTTGCCTAAGGATGGGTGCTTTTGATCAGGATATTAAGGGCAAATACACTGGCTGCTTCTCTATTTTAGTACTGTGTGTCAGAAATCAGTTTTCAAGTGGTTTAAATCCGGAGCCCCATTACCCTTTGGCACCCGAGCAAAGTCTTTCATTAAAAAACAAAGCACACAAATAGGCTGAGAGAGAGGGAAATGACCTATGGTTCCAAACTGTTTGTCAGTCTAAATCAGAATCACTTCGCTGCTTTCAGAACACATGGCAGACCCTTCTCCTGGAGACCTGAATCCAGACGGTTTGTGCTGGGATCTGTGATGCTGCATTAACTCGTTTTCTCTCTTCTCCATACACTGCTGGGTAATCACTGAGTCTCCTTAGCCCCGCTGTCACTGCTCAGGGCCTTGGAAATGTTCTTGCCCCTTGGCACTCGCAGCCCGTGAATGAATGCAGAATGCAGACTGTAAATCCGTAGGAAGAAAATACTCCTGTTATAGTTGGAAAGGCACTGGAGTGGGTTCAAGCTCCAACTCTGCCACTTCCCGTGACCTTGCGCAAGTCAGGTAGCCTTTCGGAGCCTTATCCTACTTATTTGTAAAATGGAAATAAATCCTATCTTTGCAAATTCCAAGTACATAATATGCCATCTCATGTTAGTGTTCAATAAACATAATTTCTTTTAACACGTTACAAATTGCCCTGTATACCTCACAGGCTTGTGGTGACTGCCTAGAGAGGAGTCCAAATGGAGCCCAAGGTAAAACTCGTGTCAATTAATGGGCTAGGAAATACTGAGTCACACTGGCCTTGGGGCAGAAAAGCAGCTCTTCAGGGATAGCTTGTTTATTCACTTTAGGGCTTTACATCTCAGGGTTTCCTAATCAAGAGCCGTTGATTGCCAGATATATTGACAATTCACTGCACCCTATTCTCAAATGAGCTAAGGTGGCGGGCCTCCTATGCAGTAAGCAAGAATTGCATTATTAGTCCTATGATCCCAGAGTGTATCACGTACAGAACTTCTTCACTGGACAAGTTTGTCCTATTGCTCTGCGACATCGGAAATGGGGCTAAATGGCACATAGTCTGAAATATCCTCTCAGGGGCAGAGAAGTAATGCAAATGAGTAAACTTACTATTAGTTCTTAGCTACTGCTGGGGTCGGATCACAGAGGGCCCGCCCATTTTCTACACCTGCCAAAAACATTACTTTTTTTATACGAATTAAATGAGATTATGAGTGCTTAGACCAGGATTAGCTCATAGTAATGTGTTAGCGGCTTTAAACATTCAGAAGCTAAGGTGTCAAGAGAGGCTGACACATTCTAATTCACAGTCCTACCCAATGAAGGAGCAGAGAGTTCTAGAGGGCAATGTTAAAGGTTCTTGGATCAACTGAGGATCTTCAGACTGTTATGCATCCGATTTTAGTTCTGAAAATAAACCCAAATTAAGAAGAGAGCTAAATGAGGTAGGACAGCAGAGAGAACAAAACTCCCAGATTACTTCTACAGCATAACCTAAGTATTTAGCTCTTGTAAGAAAGGAAAGCTTGCAACAGAAAAAGGGAAAATGAAGTTCTGGTGACCCTCTTGGGACAAATGAAATGCTGACTTAGGTTTTCCCGTCATGCATCTGGTGGCAGGACAGGTAGTTCGCTGTGCCAGAACTTGTCTTTATTTTCACTAAATGTGGCCAATATTCCCATTTATATTGGGGCTGCCAAAATGCTCACTCTTTTTTTTTAATGTTTTTATTGATTTTATTTTTTATTTTTGCAAGGGAGAGGGATAGAGATAGAAACATCAAAAGAGAAACATGATGGATCAGCTGCCTCCTCCACACCCCATACTGGGAATTGAGCCCAAAACCGAGGCATGTGCCCTGACTAGGAATCAAACCAGTGACCTCTTGGTTCTTGGGTCAATGCTCAACCACTGAGCCACACTGGCCAGGCTCACTCATTTTTTAAAGATAATTTTAGTTTCTCTTTTCAAATGCTCCTACTTTTTATTGGCAGTATATACAGAATATAAATGCCGATATCAATGGTGAAACAAGACTACAGTTAGAAAAATGTTCAGTTTAGAGCAGAGAAAGGCAGAATAACAAGTTTCTTATTATTTAAATACTAGAGGCCCAGTGTATGAAAATCGTGCACTGGGTGGGGGAAAGAAGGGGTCCCTCAGCCTGGCCTATGCACTCTCACAGTTCAGGAGCTGTCAGTCAGACATCCTTGGTGCTGCTGTGGAGACAGGAGAGGGAGACTCCCGCCACCACCACTGCACTCACCAGCCGTGAGCCTGGCTTCTGGCTAAGCAGCACTCCCCCTATGGGAGTGCACTGAGGGGGCAGCTTCTGTGTTGACTGTCTGCCCCCTGGTGGTCAGTGTGCATCATAGCGACAGGTAGTTCCACTGTTTGGTTGATTTGCATATTAGCCTTTTATTATATAGGATAGTAATGATGTGACCTTTAGCAATAGCAAAAATATTTGAATAAGTGGGTAAACAGAAATTAGTGTTTGCTGTCTGCAATTCATCAAGTCGGACAGCAGAGAGAACAAAACTCCCAGATTACTTCTACAGCATAACCTAAGTATTTAGCTCTTGTAAGAAAGGAAAGCTTGCAACAGAAAAAGGGAAAATGAAGTTCTGGTGACCCTCTTGGGACAAATGAAATGCTGACTTAGGTTTTCCCGTCATGCATTTGGTGACAGGACAGGTAGTTTGCTGTGCCAGAACTTGTCTTTATTTTCACTAAATGTGGCCAATATTCCCATTTATATTGGGGCTGCCAAAATGCAGAGTGAATATAAATGCCTATTTCAATGGCGTTTATATAGGCCATTACATTAAGGCATTTATATAGGCATTTATATTAAGAACAGAGTGGGCTTAATACGTCGTTCCAGGTGGTGGATGAAGTTTCAATATTTCAAAGTTCTTGAGATCTTTATTAATAAAGTATTTTTAAGGTTAAAAAAATACCCAGGAAACCAAATTGAAAAAAGAAAAATGTTTTTAATTACAAACCAAGTTTACATATTGTTAAATGGTCACTGAAAGCTCAGTTGTAACCACTCCTAACAGCACCAGCACAACCTCTCAGGAGCCACACTACAGCTCTGCCTCGTCCCTGTTGATTCCTCGTAGGCTGGAGCAGCACAGTCATTTCATGACACATTTATGGAGAACAAGGGCTGACTGACATAAAGTACAACTGTATACCCTAAACCAGTGGTCAGCAAACTGTGGCTCGAGCTGGCTTTTTGGCCCTGGAGAGTGGCTCTTCTACAAAATACCACGTGCGGGCGCGCGTACAGTGCGACTGAAACTTCGTGGCCCATGCGCAGAAGTCGGTTTTTGGCCTGGGCGAGTCTATTTTGAAGTACTATTGATATTTGGCTCTGTTGACTAATGAGTTTGCCGACCACTGCCCTAAACATTCCACACAGAGACACTGCCAAGACACTGCATGTGCTGGCACTAGAAAACATGAAAGGTCCGCACACCATGCACTGCAACCGGAGTGCTGGTGAAGTACGCTATCTGAGAGGGTCAGATGGAACACAGCATGGGAGTTTTTAACACCGTGACATATTCCATACATGTATTATAAAGTACCATTTAATCGGGAAGAAATTTTCCATCATTGCAAGTTATAAATACAACGTTTAAAAGAAAACTGCCAATTTTTACCTGGACTTCTAAATATTTGTGAATCTGAGACTGACTGGGCCCACCCAGATTTAGGGCAAAGGTAAATGTTTCTGTACTGTCTTTACAAAGAACTTTTTCATCAATTTGGCCCTCACCTACTATAGCCAGACCTACTGCAACTTAAGGTGTCATTCTTCGATATCTTCTCAGAGGAACAGGATGGATGTGAGGAGGAATGGTTAGGGAAATTTGTCTTTCATGACACTGTGCTCTATTACTTGAGCAGCTAAGAGAAAGGTATGGTCAGTGAAACAGGAGTTTACCCTTAGTGACTTATTTATGACAATCTATCCAATCTGCACTTTTGACTGTGTGCAAAATATCAGCAGTAACGCTGTTAGTGTTCAAGTGAACAGAGAACATCAATCCACCGTACCTCCAGAAGGAAAGCCCCCCACCTCCCACGTAAGAAGTCCTTCGGTGCCATTCCCATTACTGTCCTCACCACGTCAACAGCTATAAACGACTTATTTATCTGCGTCACACAAATGTGACTTGATCTGAGGTAATCACACAGTCTCGGTCTCCACGTGCAAAAATGTCGCCAGTGGCTGATGAGCAGCAGCTTCATGCTGAAGGGACCCATTTCCTCTGACTCCAGAGCTCCACCATCTGGTCTCAAAAAGCGTTCCCTCTGAGGGAGTGGCTGAAGAGAGAACTTCGCCACCACAGTGATACCCTACTGACTTGCTGAGAGAGAGCTGTGCATCGCTGAGGTCCACAGCCCCGAGGCTGCCTGCGAGCCGTCCGGGCACCTCAGGGAAACGTGACGACGCTGACAGGAGGCGGCTCTCAGGAATGCACGGACGGTGCTTCTGCTCCGTTCAAGTCTTTTCTCCTTACCCCAAAGTCTCATGAGAACTTCAGTTTATAAATGCTACTGTCTTTCTCCATCACCGCCCTCCTGGAGGTGGAGGTGAAGGTTTTACACTAAATGTGCTTGAAAGTAAGTGTCAAGAAAGCTGTGTATTAACATAAAAGTGATTCCAGTCAGGACTCCCCAGAAAATCCTGGTAAGTGTTCAATCTCTGAGGAAAATCTTCTAAGTGATTTTCGAGGTGATTAGTAACCACCACCTACAGGTGAGTTTTGCTATTTGTCCATTTATCACCTTTATGTTTTTTACCCCTCTTAACTTCCACTGAGAAATTTAAAGTAGAAATAAACTGAAAGAATTCTAAACCTGATAGAGGTGGCGGTCTCACAATTCTACATTTAATATGGATAAAACCACTCTAGTTGAGATTTTACTTTTTATAATTAAAATAATTGAAAGGGTATGCATAAGTATTTCTCAGCCTTTTAAAATCCATTATCTTTTAATAAACAAATCTGCATACCCATTGTGTACTTTTGTTATGAAATGTACTGCATTTTCCAGTTCTTTTTTAACATACAGCCTAGTTAAGAATCATGCATAGAGATTTATCTCTCAAAGGGATAAAATAAGCTGGCTCTTCAGCATCTCAAGAGTTAGTGTTAAAATGACAGCAGCAAACAGTCAGCTTTTCAAAGACCCAGTTCCCAGGTTAGGTCAGGAAGAAAAATATCCATCTCTCATACATATGTGAGTCTTTCACAACAAACAGGGGAATCCTAAACACAGTCTGTGCAACAGCACATACTTCTGGCTATGTTCACACAGTAAACCATAGAAACACACTGGCTCTGATGGCTACCTGGATCAGACCGACTGACCCAGTGTCTACTTAGTATAGTCATCGGTGGCTTCTTCAGTCAGGACTTTAGAGGTGCTTACCGTGCGCCCACAATCCAGGCAGGACATGCCCAAAGCAATCATACATTGCCAAATCTGAAAGAGAAAACAGAGCCACACTCACCAACCTCTCTGAAGAGCCCTCTTGCCCACCGTGACTGCTCAAAACTGGGCTCCTCAGATGCAAACCTGCTCTCTTCTGTAAACATCCATTTGCCTGTCTTCTATCACCAAGTCATTCTCCAAACCCCACAGCCCCTTCAAAACATCCTGGAATCTCCTTCTTCGGCCAGGCTTTTCCCTACTAGTGACAATGCTGAGTTCCCTCTGCTCCTACTGCTGGGTGCCTGCAGTTCGTTTCTTTCATTGGACTTGGAGTTTCCTAAAGACCACTTTTCTTCATGAGGAGGGGCACGATGACAGACTAATACAACTGAATAGTCTCCGAAGCTGCTCGATGAAGTGTATGTTTGGAGCTAAACAGCAGTTAATACAACTGAATAGTCTCCGAAGCTGCTCGATGGTTTGGAGCTAAACAGCAGTAACCCATTCTAGCCTTAAAAACAGTCCTCAGAATCTCCAGAGTCTCAGCTGCCTGAGGGCACCGCGGCACCTTCATGACCAATCTGCATGAAGGAAGGATTCCCTTACCTTCTACAGCAGATTTTAAAACCATTCCTGTCAAGGACATATTCAGTTACTTGGATTTCCTGAGAGTAGGTCCCTAGAATATATAGGGTCAGCATGACTTTAGTGAGCCTAAAGTTTACTGAGAGCAAAAGAAAGGGATGTATCAATTCAGGACATCGTTTTTCAACATTCACTAAAGTGATTTTTCTCAATCAAGCATGGGGACTAGGTTAACTGTTACAAAGATCACAATGAGTTTCCTTGACCATTCTCTCCAGCAGATACGGCACAAATTCTGCAGCCCCTGGGCCTCAGCCCTGTGTGTTTCAGAGAAGGCTGCATAGAACAGGGAGGTGGATGTGTTGTTGCTGCTAGAATCATTTTTCATTAATATAAATAATGCTATAGAAGATTTGGAAAATATAGAAAAAAATATATCCATAATCCCATCATCTTAAGATCAGTATTACCATTTTTATATAACTGACTCTAGAATTTTGAAATATTTTTTATTATCTGGGTACACATAATTCTGCATTCCTTTTCTATGTGGTTTTATAACCATCACTTTTTAATAATTCTAAAATAATTCAATGTGAGAATGTAACTTTTTATTTATTTCCTTACTGGACAGCTAATAAGTAGCAGAGCTGAGCAGGGCTGTGAACCCACATGATCCACCCCCTAGCTCTGAAATCACACCGCACAGCCTCCGTCTCCAACCCCATTTTGTTCCACTCTCTGCTTTCCAGACTGATCCTCTTTGTTTAGTTCCTACACTCTCCTGTTAGGAATTATTAAGAATGGAAACTAAACAGAAGTGACAGGAATAGAAAGATGATAGCTCTTAGGAACCAAATTTTATGGTTAAAAACACTGTTTAACCAAAAAAGTGTGTATGTATGTGTGTGTGTGTGTGTGTGTGTGTGTGTGTGTATGTACAGTTTAACCATAGCTGACTTAACAATTTCATGTAAATTATCTCAATAACCTGAAGACAGATTGCTAGGTGCTCCTTTGGGTGCTTCCTGGATGTTAGTCAGCCCCACACTGCTGACTAACTTATGCCCCTGCCCCCTCCCAACTGGACTTACCAAGTAAAACACGAAGCTCAGATAAGCCACACTGACCACAGCAGCCACCACATACAGAACCATATGCCCAAGACTCTGGACATAAATCACGACAAAGTACATGTTGATAGAGCAGATGACAAAGACCAAGATCCCGCCTGCAACCTTCCAGCCTCTGTAAAAGAATCAGCACCGTCACTGTGAGCAGCCCGACCTGTCCACAACAGCCGGCGCTGCATCTTGCGGGGCAGACAGGGCAGGAGTAAGAAGCATTTCAAACAGGTGTGCTCCCCCTCGTGGGAGCATGCCCACGCCTTTCCCTCCCACCTCAGCTTCCCCCTCAGGTGTGCATCCCCTAACTCTAAGGGACCCCAAGAGACTTGCAACCAGGGGAGCAAGGGGCAGCAGCAGCTCCTCCCAGACAAACCCCCTACACCTGTCTCCAAGGCCCCCTTTTCTCTGACTTCTAGTGAGTCAGAGCCACCCCACCCCGCCTAGGTTCTCTCCTGTTGCTTCTTCCATCCTAAGCCCTTCCTTGTTTCACTGTCCCCAGCTTTAATAAAAGTACTCTTTAAAAAAAAGAACTAAAAATAATTACCCCAGATTTAGTTAAATAAGCCAAAATTAGACAAAGAGAGAGAAAAAGTACTATCAAATAACCTCTATTATTCAAGTCCCTAAAAATGCAACAAGTCATGAGTGTCCCTAGAGATCCAACAAGTAATTTCAACTACTCTCATATCTGTTAAAGCTGTGTATGTAAGGTATTAGCTTATACCGTTCTTGTTCAGGTATTTAGCATGGAATTAAGTTGCTTAACACTTCAGCCCTGGCCAGTGTGTCTCAGTTGGTTGGGCATCGTCCTGTGCACTGAAAGATGCCTGGGTTATAGGCTCAATCCCCAGTAGGGGGAGAGCAGGAGGCAGCCAATTGATGTTACACTCTCACACTGGTTTCTCTCTCTCTCCCTTCCACTTTTTCTAAGCTAAAGATTGAGGGGGCAGTGCTAGCAACCACCCCTCCAGCCCCTATGACTCCGTTTTTGACTGGCCTACTTAATGAAGATATCCTCCCCCCACACAGCTTTGGGGAACAGAGAGGAGCACACTCACATTCCATTGGCAAAGTCACTCATTACTGGCCGCAAGCTCGTAAACGTGAGGATGGGTATGAGAGCAAAGGGAAGCTGGAAAAGAAAAAACTAAGATCAGATGGGGCTGCTGGGGATCCCTGGGTCACCCCAGAGAGTAGCACTGCTAGTGAAAGGGAAACACAGACCCTGCCTCAATTGACCTATGAAAAATTATTCCTATCATTCCAAATGCCAAGCATTATGTTGAAATCTGCACAGCTGTCATTAACCTAACATCAATTATGATCATAAGGTTCTTTGCAAATACTTGTTTCTGCCTTGTCTTAACCTGCTTAGGACCTAGCAGTGTCCTATATGTCATTTAATACTTTCTTGGCTTAATGAATAATAATTTGTGTCCTATATGTAATTATAATTTATAATTCCCATTCAATAGGCTTTAAAAAAACCAAATCACTTCTGAAAACCATTTAGATGCCAGGGATTTCATACACATTTACTGAGACCAAGACCATGCCTCTCTCTTCCTCTAAACCAGCCGTGGGCAAACTATGGCCGGTTTGAAATGAATAAAACTAAAAAAAAAAAAGACCGTACCCTTTTATGTAATGATGTTTACTTTGAATTTATATTAGTTCACACAAACACTCCATCCATGCTTTTGTTCCGGCCCTCTGGTCCAGTTTAAGAACCCATTGTGGCCCTCGAGTCAAAAAGTTTGCCCATCCCTGCTCTAAACTGTCCCCAGCACTTGGCACTAGGCTTGGTACCTAGGGCAGCCCATAATGCTCCCTCACCTGTAAGCTCTGCAGAACATTGAGGAAGTCATTCATCCCAGTCAGATGCTCTACATCTTGGAAGACAGCAACCAGCAGAGTCGGGATAATGGCAATAGAGCGGGTGAGAATCACTCGGGCAAAGCGTGACCACCTGAGGTTCAGGAATCCCTGGAAGAAAGCACAGAGCAGGATGAGTGTCTGGAACAGGAAACTAAAAAGTTTTGGAGAGATTCAGGAAGACCTTAAAAGCATGGGATTAATAAGTAACAAAAGGCCAATTTCCCCTTCCTCTAGTGAATACCAGTCAGAGCAGCACCTACCTCCATGACAAACTGGCCAGAATAGGTTCCTGTCATGGTGGAGCTCTGCCCCGCGGCCAGGATCCCCACGGCCCAGATGTAGAGTGCAGCAGGCCCGAAGTAACATCCCAGCACAATACCCTGGGGGGGGTGGGGGAGAAGCAGGTGTGTGTTAGGGAACTGCTTAGACTTAGACGATACCCAAAACAGCAAGTCTCTCTTCTTTCCTATGCACCCACCTAAACCAAGGGCTGTGCAGGGCACTGTCCCAGAAGCTCAACTCAGTCCTCACTTCATTCTAAAGCTTTCAACCGAAATGTTGTGGATGGTCCTTCTTTCCTTAGCCTAGTCCTTTCTCTTCTCCAAGCTCCTAAAGCCTTCATCCTCAACCTACACCTGAAATACTAATAAAATAAATAAAGTCTACGCTATATTTCCCAAATTATACTGCTTAACACACTATTTTAGAAGATAATAAGAGTGAAAAGAAAGGTAAAAAAATTTGGGAAATGCTACATACATACATATTCTACCCCTGGAGGTTCACAATGTAACCAATATAAAAGGGACTGAGCCCCAATGAAGACCAGTTTACTAGGTACACTTTCTTCAACTGCACCAGTTAACATCTGGTAGAACACTCTACTATCAGCACAAGTTTGGGAACTGCTGAAACAATTCTCTTTTTTAGCTGATCCTTTATTCTTTCTATGTAGTCCAAAATGGTTGCCTAGCATCTGGCCCTCTGAAATAAATGACTCTCCACAGGGAGATATGCTCAGCTCTGAAGCGAACCTACAGAAAAGACCAGCTACTGGCCAAGAATAGTGATCCAGGGCAAAGAGCACGAATCTGGACGGTTTACCCCTTTGAAGATGTCCACAGCCAGTGTTGAGTTATCATCAGGAATGAGGCCAGTATGGGGACTGCTGCTATTTTTACAGACTTCAATCTGGAAGAGAAAGCAGTTTCAGAGCAACTTTTATTTTCAAGGCACGGGCCAGAGAAGAAGCGTTCTCCCACAGATCACACACACGTCATCTATGCTACACAGCCTGGAGGCAAGACTGGATACTTCAGGCTGTGATGGGGCAGACACTGGGGGCAAGTACCACTTGTGCTCTACCTACATAATCTTTTTTTTACTGATTTCAGAGAGAGGAAGGGAGAGGGAGAGATAGAAATATCATCAATGATGAGAAAGAATCATTGATCGGCTGCTCCTGCACATCCCCTACTGGGGATCAAGCCCACAACTCAGGCATGTGCCCTTGACTGGAATCAAACCCGGAACCTTTCAGTTCACAGGCTGATGCTCTACCCACTGAGCCAAACCGGCTAGGGCCCTCCATAATCTTTCTGCACCCCCATGTCATCAAAAAGATTTACTGAGTTAGAGTGTGCACTGTTGGGTCATTTTAAATGACAGAAAGAGAGGACCCTTAAGAAGGCTTCAAATAGGAGAGGACAACCAGGACAGGGAGTCCTTAGTCAAAGCAGAGCCAGGAGTCTGAGGTCCCATACGTGGGAAGCGAAGTGGTGATCAGAATTGGATAGGCAACCAGGAACTGAGAAGACAGAATTCAAAATGACAAACAGAAACTGTTGCCAGGACAGACTGTTTTGTTTGTTGCCTCCTCCCTACCTGTACTCAATCACCAAATGGCAGGACTGGCAAGCAGACTGGCAGTTGATAAACAGGAAACAAAAGACTAAAGAGAGTGATGCCACTAACAAAATAGCACTAGGCAATCTTTAGTCTGGGGCGATCTCCCTTCTGAGACAAAAGCAGGGGGAAAGCGTGTAGGCTTTCAGCCCCCAGGCTGCTCACGCTGACTAGTGCAGTGACTTAGGGGACAGTATTGAGGCCACAGACCTACTGTCATGGATCCAAGTCATTGTCATATTTTCCTACCCCATTCCGGCCTTCACATTACCCTCACATTCATCACCACTCAGGACCCTGGCTTACTCACCACCTGCTGGTGGGTTTTCTCAAAAAATGCTTCGGCAAAGACCGAGACGACGAAAACATTGATGATGAAGGAAACAAAGAGAGCAATGCAGGATTCAATGAAAAAGTACTTATTGGCTTCTCGAACTTCCTGCTTTTTGGCTCGGTTTACCTGTCTCGACTGGAGAGAAAATAGCAGTAGTCATTTTTTTTAAACCATTTGGAACAAGTTTCCTTGTAATATTTCATGAGTTCAGAGACAACTGAAAGATTTAGAGGGCAACAACTGACCAGATGAAATGTGAGAATCGCTTACATCCGTGTTCCCTAAGAACTTCATGACCCTTGGATGACATTACACATTCCTCAAACAGGTAACAGAAGCTAAGTGATTACTGAGCTCTCAGTTATTGTGGCTGGAAGAACCAAACACACAAGCAAAAAAACCCAAGCTGTGTCCTAACAAGTGCATAACCTTACTTATGAAGGTCTCTGAAATTCCCCAGAAAACCATTGTGTAAGACTGCCTGGTAAAAGGTTAGTGGGACTCTTTACCCCTGACCTCTTCAAGGCCGCTCAGGACTCTGAGATTAAAACACAAGAGGCTTGTGCACTTTCAGACCTTTTATGAACGACTTTAGTTCCAGTTTCTGTGGGGTCAGTTATCTCTGGTCATAAAACAGAGTCCAGGTGTGTGGGGTTTGTAAGCGTCTAACCATGGAAAATACCTTTCTCCTTCAAGTTCTAACAGTTGTAAACTAAGTGCGTGCCCCTTGCAACTAAAGGAAAACATCTCATGACCTATCTTGGAGTCCAGTGAGATAAAGGCCTTGCTCACCTTGACTAAGGCAGAATGCAGGTACATGTTGTGTGGCATGATGACAGCTCCCACGATGCCCACAGCCTGCTGGATCTGTGGGGTGCCACAGCCTGAACAGGATGGCAGGAACATGCCCTTGAGCACCTTGCTCTGGTTGGGTCGCACTGTAATATACTACACACCAACATAACCACTATTAGCTTGTACTGGGATATGAGACCGAGGGAGCAACAGCACAAGGAAACACTCAGCATCCTTTCCTCCTTTCCTTATAACCCCTTCTTCTTCAACAACTACCTAGAATAACAAGGAATACAGAACCATCGGAAACCAAGCAGCATAAGGGGCTTGCTGCCAGAGATCAGAGAATTCAACACTGGGGTCCCTGGATATTTTACCTCATATTTTAGATACACAAAATAGATATGTAGAAAATGTAATTAATATTCTAAAGAAATGAAATAGCTGAGCTCTAGCCAGTTTGGCTCAGTGGGTAGAGCGTTGGCCTTCGGACTGATGGGTCCAGGTTTGATTCTGGTCAAGGGCATGTACCTCAGTTGCAGGCTTCCAGCCCTGGTCAGAGGCATGTGGGAGGCAACCAATCAATGTGTCTCTCTCACATCAGTGTTTCTCTCTGTGTCTCCCTCTCCTTTCCACACACTCTACAAATCAACGGAAAAAATATCCCTGAGTAAGGATTAAAAAAAAATGAAATGGCTGCTAAGGGCCTTATTGATATTCATTTCACAATAACTTCTATGAGACAGACCCAAGAATACAGTCAATTCTTAATTATCCCCACTTATGTCTCTGATCAGCTGTATTCATCTAAAAATCAGTGATTGCCACTAGCATAAGCTGACTCATTCATAACACTTTTCACACATATTTTTTCCTGGTCCAGCATTTCTCTTGAAAGCCTTAGACTAAGCTGTATAACCTACTCATAGATTAGATATATTTTTAAAAGTCTAGCCAGGCCAATAAACAGCTATCAGTTAAACCGGATATAGAAAAGGGCTGTTAAGGCCTATAATGGTACCGATTCCTCGGAGTGTCTAGGTTGGGGCACAAACCAGGAAGCACCTACTACATCCCCTACAGTTGCAATGCAGAAAAGTTCAAGCTGCAGTTGGTATAAACCAGAATGAGCAAAAACAGACCCCTCTAAGTTAACAGCCAAGAAGCACCCTATAACATCCTCTCTAACACTCTCCAAAGCTATTCTATTGTCCAGATGGCCAATTTGGAACCAGAGGGTGTAGTCTGGAAAGTCCTAGAAAGTTTGTCATTTATTTTCTTCCATCACCATTTATTCCCTTTATGCCCTCTTCCACCTCCACCCACCCTCTAGTCATCCTATATAATAATCCTATCTAATAAAAGCCTAATATGTTTGACCAAACGGCAGAACAACCAGTGGGACAACCGGTCACTATGATGGGCACTGATCACCAGGGGGAAGACACTCAACACAGGAGCTGCCCCCAGGCCAGCCAAGGCAGGTGCCAGCGGGGGGCCCTGCAGAGGGAGGTGACTAGCAGCGGCAGCGGGACTGGTGAGCAGGCAGTGCCAGGCAGGCCAAGGCAGGTGCCAGCAGGGGCCCCTGATCGCCCCTCTGGTCGCCCCACAGATCGGTCCTGATGGCTGGCCAGGCCTAGGGACCCTACCTGTGCATGAATTTTGTGCACTGGGCCTCCAAGTTTTTGACATAGGAGTCCTGCAGACCTTCCTGGACACTAGTCTTTGCTATAGATAATATTCCTTCAAAATTGGCCCAAGACTTAACTGGCTTCTTTTTTTCTTTCTGCTTTTACTTTATTAACGTTTTTTATTTTATGCTGAATTTACTCCTGGGCCATAAGTTTTGTTTCCTTAGTTTATTCTGGGATATGTGTTTTCTTCTGTGCAACCTCCTCTTCTGGTTTAAAAACAATCTGCTTTTTCAGCAAGAATCATCTCAGTGAGACAGGGAGAGCTCATGTGTGGGATAATCCGTAAGTTCTGTGCCACATCTTTGGGAGCTTTGTTAACCTAGATGGGCTCAATGTCCAGAGATTTCACATCTACATCCTTAAGTTCAACATTACTCTCTGGCTTTTTAAGCACCTGCAGCAAAAACTCAGCACTCTTTTTGGGTCACCAACCCTATGTCCAGCCCCACTGTATGGCCTGGGCACACCTACCAATTCCACTCATGTCACGACAGAATGCTTTGGTAAGGTGGCATCCTTCAGACACTCGATGGGCTTTTCAGATATGCATACCCCAGATGGCCTGGGCAGTTTCACGAATGTTCTTAAAGTGAACACAGAGATCTGAACCTCTTAATTTGCATGACTTTGCCTGATTTCTGGATCAAGTGAATAGCAAACTATTTTCACAGGTTACCTCTGCTTCTTGTAAGTTACAAGAAGAGGAAGCAATTGTCTTTTTCTTAGCACATGCAATACAATTGAACCATCCTAGCATTATTTTGTCTTTTATAATAAAAACAACAAAAAATTTTTTTTAAAGCTAATAAATAGCCTGGCACACTTGCCTCATATCCAAAAGTGAGGGCCATAACAGTGATGAGAAAGCCAAAAAATGCTTCCAGCTTCCGCAAGCCTGAAGGGGAAAATGTAGCAGTGAGTTTATAGGAGACAGAGTTCCCCATCAGTCACGTGATGGAAAAGTAGCTTCTTTGCCTAATCCCTCCATTCCCGCTCTACTTACCATATTTGTCCAAAAAGAGAAATACAAAAGTATCTGCAATGGTGATGAGAACTCCACCCCATAGGGGAACCCTAGATCAGAGATAAGAAATGGAAATTAAAGGAAAGAAAGATTGAGAAGTGCTTTCTTCCCAACAGCTCTCCATACATACAACTTCGGGAGAAGTAAGGGCTTGGTGGGCGGGGACAGTGGCAGGAGGCCAGGCCTTGGGTAGTTTAGGATAACATGAATAATATTCACTCACACTTGACTGTCTACTACGTCAGACATTAGGATACGTAGTTGAAAAGAATGGGTCTTACCCCTCAAGGAGCTCATTGTTTACTGGAAAATTTTGACATACAAATAAATAACTGTAATATACAAAAATACATACTGCATAACAGAGGTATATATATAAGCCAACATGAGAATTTGGAAGATATAGAGTCTACATCTTACATGACAGAGGAAGGTGGTCCTAGATAGGTTCCACAGAAAATATAATAAACTTAAGTTGAATCTTGAAAATTGAAAATGAGTTGGGTTTTTGTTTTTACATTTGCTTTGAAATCTAGCAAAATATTACTTTCTAGAGGGAAACCCCCTCACCTTCCTACAGACAGGAGATTGATGGCAATGGCTGAGCCAATAACTTCTTGCATATCTGAGCCAATGATAGCCAGCTCCACCATCAGCCACAGGATAATTCGTGGGACCTAAACACCAAACAGAAGAAAAACATGGTTCCAGTTAATAACTTCCAAGAACTTCCCCCATAATTTGGAATTCACATTTTGGAACTGACCCATCAACGGTCCTTTACAAGCCTTCAGTTTAGAGATAAAGACCCATCACTGCACTGTGGGCCCTAGCTACAGAAGGCAAGTGTGCTTCTAGGCGGCGGAGCTTATGAGTCAGGGCCTAGGCAGCAGCTGGATCCTAGTATTTTTCTCTTTCCTTTCCATTCAAGAGAGGAATGGCATTTCCATTCAGTAATTTCCACTTAATTTCATGCCTAAAAAAACAATCCTAAGTCTTAGGGGGAAAGGATGATGCTAATATGGTCAAAATATTCTTCAGGAGAGAATGAAAAATGTCTGCAGAAGAAACTATCGATCCTGATTGTAGCCAAAGAGACAAAACCAATGTGAAAAGGCTGGGTCTTCCATAATGTAATAACAACACGGAAGTGAAAAAGGACAGATGCAAAGGGACTCAGGGCAAAGTGGTTGGAATTGGGTGGTGTATAACAAAACAGGGAGCTAATCTGGTCACACAAGGCAGGTGAAAGACAAATGTAGTTAATGCTGGCTCACTGAGCACAGAAAAGAACACCTCCACGTGTCCACTGCCTAAGAAACAATTGCTAAGATACACAAAGAAAGAGAAGCTAAAGAAATTATAAATTACCAGGATTTTCTTTTAAGAAGAAAATTTCTTTATATATATATAAAGATAAGGATACTTTCTCACAGCCAGGAAAGGAGATTAAACATTTAGGACAAACCAGAGGTAGATCTCCAGTATCTCATCTAAAGATGAAGCTAAGACCCAGCCGGTGTGGCTCAGTGGTTGAGCATCAACCTATGAACCAGGAGGTCATGGTTCGATTCCTGGCCAGGGCATATGCCCGGGTTGCGGGCTGAATCCCCAGTGTGGAGTGTGTAGGAGACAGCTGACCAATGATTCTTTCTCATCACTGATGTTTCTATTTCTCTCTCCCCCTCCCTTCTATTAAGAAAAGACTCTAGCTGGTTTGGATCAGTGGACAGAGATCAGCCTGAGGTCTGACGGGTTCTGGGTTTGATTCCAGTCAAGGGCACATGCCCGTGTGGCGTGCTCAGTTCCCAGTGGAGGGCGTGCAGAAGGCAGCCAATCAATGATTCTCTCTCATCATTGATGTTTCTAGTTCTCTCTCCCTCTCCCTTCCTCTCTGAAATCAATGAAAAAAAAAGATAAAGCTAGGAAAAAGCTATCTTCCAGACACAGGCTCCACGTCTGCCTTAGGTGGCAGTAAGAAAGGCTCCAAGTGTCCAGAGGGAAGATGAAGAGAACAGTGTAACACCCAGGGGCAGGGTTAATTGAAAAATAATTATTAGAAGATCCAAGATCTTGCCACAAATAGTTTGTATTATAAGGAAGAAACTCACTTTTCTCTAATTGTTAGCAAAGTCAAACAAAAAGAAAATACGTATAATGCAAAGTGATTGAGTAATACGAAGGTATGACTGAAAGTGCTTAGCGCCATGGGCTGGGCACTACTAGATGCCAGAAGGCAGAATGAACGGTAAATGTTTCCTCAAACAGGGTTTTTCTAAGGAAACTTTTTGAAAGAACGTAGAAATGTGGCTTGGCAACAAGAGGGGCCTAGAGAGTTTCCTTGGGACTCCCAGTCCTCAGGCCACTGACCCCCAAGTCCTCCACTGTTTCAGTATACAGTAGTTGGGCCAGCACCTACTGCCAGGCACACAGATTCCTATGATGTGAGTGACAGACAGGACAGTACACTGCTCACCTTGGGGTACTGACGGTAACAAACTTCAGCAAGATGCAGCCCAGTGACCACTCCCAGTCTAGCCGCAAGGCGCTGCAGCAGGAGCCCCACGATGGTGGCCAACAGAAGAACCCAGAGCAACTAGAGAAGAACAAAATCCCACCATCACACTCACAGACAACAGAGGTTTTTTTGTTTGGTTGTTTGGCAATGTGAATGGGAAGCACTACATTCAGGAAAGAGCCCAGGTCAGGAACCAAATGACCCAAGTTCTGTATCAGGTTCTACACATAACCTGGTATGTCTCCTTGTACCTCTCTGAGCCTTAGTTTCTCCCATCTGCAGTTTCTCCTTTACTCAAGGAAACTGTGTGGGTGAAATAAAAAACCAACTATGTGGATAAGACAGAATGATAAACCAGATGGAAAAGTACTTTTCACTTAAATGTCACTGTAGGTTCAGTAGAGGAAAAGGATGTGAGTGTGTAGTGTGTGTCCAAAAGGGACACGGGTAAAACTAGACATTTACCTTAAACCCAGCCACTGCTCCAGACTGCAAATCAGATTCGATGTTTCCTGGATCCAGGTAGGCAATGCTCATAAGAAAGCCGGGTCCCGTGAAAGCCCAGAGTTTCCGAAAGCTAAAACAAGAGTGCTACACAGAGGACAAGAGAGCAAACTGATTACACCTCCATATGCTGACCTATTTGATCATATACAAAGCAACAATATCAGTGTCACAAGAACAAAGGATTCAGGATGGTGGATATTGGGTGTGTCCAAGTTTCATTTCTATTTTATCCACTTATTATCAATAAATTGGTCCCTTCTCGTCCAAGTAAAGAGCCTTTCCGTACCTTTCTCTTTTCCATCAGCCTCTCATTTTAAAACCAGAATAACAATATCAGTACCTCTGTGCTCAATCACTACCCAATGGGACAAAAGCTGTTGTCAAAGAGGAACATAAATCTCATACTTCTTTGATGTGAGCTTTTCTCATTGGCAACAGTTTTCAAGGCCCTCATTTTCCTAAACAGTTTCTATTTATTCTGATTTTAAAATTCCGTCTTCAGAGACTGCCAAAATTAGACCTGCGGCTGTGGATCTGGAGCTGTCCAGCAGACCTGTTACACACATTTTCCTTACATAACAACTTTTTCTCCAAGGACCTGTCACTGACCTCCTCCTCAGGAATGGGAATCTTCTCATCAAAGTAGGTGGTGAAGGGCTCCTCTGATGTCCTGGGGGATTGCGGAAGAGAGGAGCTACTGTAGGCAGGATTGATGGCACCAAGACTGGCAGAGTCGCCATAGTCTTCAGCAGCAGCACCTGAATGAATAGATTTGAAAAGAATTTTTTAAAAAATGAGCAAACTGCCCTAGCTGGTTTGGCTCAGTGGATAGAGCATCGGCCTGTGGACTAAAGGGTCCCAGGTTCAATTCCGGTCGGGGACACATGCCTGGGTTGTGGGCTCAATCCCCAGTAGGGGGCCTGCAGGAGGCAGCCAATCAGTGATTCTCTCTCATCATTGATGTTTCTATCTCTCCCTCTCCCTTTTTCTTTGAAATCAATAAAAATATATATTTTTAAAAATGAGCAAACTAACAATTTATCCATAGTAATACTGAAATTAAATCTTTAATACCCTAAAGGCACAAGAGTTACCTGACTATATCTCAATTTATTTCTAATACTTTATTTTTATTTTAAATAAATTAATTTTTCAAATTATTTTCTTAATCCTCACCTGAGGATATGTTTTTATTGATTTAAGAGAGAGAAACATCAATCAGTAGCCTACAGTATGCGCCCCAACTGGAGATTGGACATGCAACCTTTTGTTGTACGGGACAATGCTCCCACCAACTGAGCCACCCAGCCAGGGAAATAAGTTAATTTTTGAATAAGCAATATATTCACATGATTGAAAATTTGAGAAATACAAAAAGGCTTATGGCAAAAAAGCTCCCTATCACCCCCTTCTGCCAACATTCAGCTCTAGATCAGTTTTTTTTAAAAATATATTTTTATTGATTTCAGAGAGGAAGAGAGAGGGAGCAAGAGATAGAAACATCAATGAGGCCGACGCTCCATCCACTGAGCCAAACCGGCTTTGGCTAGATCAGTTTTTTTAAAAAATATATTTTTATTGATTTCAGAGAGAAAGAGAGAGGGAGCAAGAGATAGAAACATCAATGATGAGAGAGATTCATTGATCAGCTGCCTTCTGCAAGGACCTCCCCCCCCCGGGGATCGCGCCTACAACGCTGGCATGTGCCCTGCTCTCGTGGTTCATAGGTCGACACTCAACCACTGACCTACAACAGCTGGGCTCTATATCAGTTTTAACACTACTCTCACAATGGTTTTCCTACTTTATATTTCTATTCCCACTTGGCAACTTTTAGAACCATTTCATTTTCTTCTAAGAACACTGATGTCTATGACTCAAAATATAACCCAGACTAGCCTCTTGGGTAACCTAAAATCTTAACTTTTACAAGAAAAACTAGGTCAATCTAGTGGGGGACATACCACCACCACCACCCCTCCTAATATCTGGTAGGACTTACTCAAAGAAACTTCCTTGGACATTATACCTCCGCAGGCTTCTCAAAAAATGTGGAAGTTGCAAAATCCTGCCACAGTTCGGGCTAAAATCTGAAGCTGCAGGAAAACCACCAAGCAGGAGGCCCTGACTAAGGCCTGCGTAAAGAGCCGCAGGTCACGGGGTGACCCTCGTGATAGGAGAACTCATCTAAGACTGATAGTGTTTCCCTGACCCTGGCATTTTGTAGTTAATCTTAAATGCAGGGAGGGGTAGGGACTGGAAGAAAAGAGCTAATCTGCCAAAAAGATACCAAACCAGGATTGCTGTAGCCATCAAATGGCTATTTTGAACCACAAAACTCTAATCTCAGTGTTTCTAAGAAATCCTTACAACCTCCAATTAAAAAACAAAAGCTTTCTTTCTATGTGGAAAGAAAGTGGCCCGGAACTTATTAAGAAATTTATTTTTTAAAAATTTATAAAAAAGGAATGGAAATTCTAAAGGGAAAACTTAGAATTAGGAAGGATTAGTCAAAGCAGTCAAGAAGCTCTAATCAAATACAGTATAAGGTGCACACCCAGTACTTTACAGCTCCATACATATCTGAAATGCCATCAGCAGCCAAGGCACTCTAGGAGGGTTTTATGACAGGCATTACTGCTATAGAAACCAAACTTGTAGCTAAGCTTGGCTCATCTCAGAAAGGGAAACAAGATGAAGCAGGTAGGTCTCTGTGGTCATAAATCCACTTCAGCCTAAGTCACCAGAAGGTGACTTCTGAATGGAGCAGATCTCCATTGGCAGAAGAAGGGCAAATGGGGACATATTTTGTTGGGAACAGACAATGAGAAAGAAAACATGATAAATTTCTATATCCAAATAACAATTAGACAATAACACAAAAACTATAAATTACCATCTGGCATCTTCTGTTCAGGCCCCAACACCATGGTGTTCTTAGAATAGGATTCTGGAAAGTAGAAAAGGGAGGAAGAGAAATGAACAAGAACAAACTTACACGTTCAGCAACAGCATTTTGTACTCTGTACAACCAAATCCTTACTATATGAAAAGAATAATTCTTCTATTGAATTAGATAACCTTGAAAATAATTAGTTTTCTGAGTATGATTAAGGGATATTTAATAAAAATGTAAGTCTTAATCATGGTTTTGCTGGCAAGATTTCAAAACCAAATTGGAGTGGGCAAATGATTTGTTTTTTTTAGAAGCAGGTCCTCTGGAATAGTTTAGCACCACGTTCCCCACAAACGTGTGTTGCATGACAGGCAAGGGGGCGGACCCCTCCTGCTGCCCAGGAACAGGGGCTGCACCAACCAGTCCGATGTCAGAGGCAAATGCTTCTTTTTTTTTTTTTTTAATATATTTTATTGATTTTTACAGAGAGGAAGGGAGAGAGATAGAGAGTTAGAAACATCGATGAGAGAGGAACATCGATCAGCTGCCTCCTGCACATCTCCTATTGGGGATGTGCCCGCAACCCAGGTACATGCCCCTGACCGGAATCGAACCTGGGACCTTTCAGTCCGCAGGCCGACGCTCCATCCACTGAGCCAAACCGGTTTCGGCGCAAATGCTTCTGAATAAACCTCCACACATGGGCTGCTAGGCAATCACCCAGTCTCTGCTTACCTCCAGATAAATCCAGAAATCAAGACTGATTTCTCCCATTTTTGAGTTTTTAATATTTTTTAATTGACTGATTTTAGAGGAGGGCGGGGAGAGAGAGACAGAAACATTGGTTTGTTGTTCCACATATTTATGCATTCATTGGTTGATTCTCATATGTGCCCTGACCAGGGATGGGACCCGCAACCTTGACGTATGGGGATGATGCCCTAACCATCTGAGTAACCTAGCCAGGCTTCATTTTCTTTAAGGCAGAAATCTAAAACTCTCTGACCTAACAATTTAAACTTGAGAAATAGAGTGGAGAAATAAAAAAGGGTCACAGTGGTTATGCTGCTCAATTATTAACTTCAAGTAGGCTGAGGCATCAAAAAAACAATTATTCTTGTTTAAACTGACTCTGGGAACTTAAGCTTTTGAAATTTCCAGTCCTACCTGAATATCAGTGCATTGTGCCTTTGATGCTTCCAATTAACCATCTGAATTACCTCAAAAAGAAAATGTTCCATTGTCTAAACCACCGGACATCTGAGGATTACCACCTTGAACCAATGTGGGGACTAAGAATGCAGAACTGATTCTCCTCAAAAATGGACTTTTTACTATAAAACTCTCAGACTTTTCTTTCTCCTCAGGAACACTCTTGGTATTGCCTAGTAGTTGGGAGGCTTTGATTAGAAATAAATTACAAAGATTTATTTAAGGGCCAGCCAGTGTGGCTCAGTGGTTGAGCATCAGCCTATGAACCAGGAGGTCACAGTTGGATTCCTGGTCAGGGCACATGCGTGGGGTGCAAGCTGGATCCCAAGTGTGGCAGGATGGGGACGCATGCAGGAGGCAGCCAATCAATGATTCTCTCTCATCACTGATGTTCCTATCTCTCTTCTCTCTCTGAAATCAATACAAATATTTTTAAAAAATATTTATTCATGGGCCTTATGCTTCAATTTCTGGAAAGGGGAAAAGCACCTCACCAGCACACCCATAGTGGAGGGCCACTACTCCTAGCTTCATGTTTCCCGAGGAGAGACGTCAGCTCTAATGGTTCAGGTCTCATTCCCCAACCCTTCAACAACTAGGAGAAGAAACCAATGACCATGGCCTCCCCTCTGGACTTTCAGGGCGCACTGAAGCAGGAGGGCTGGCCATGGTTCTCCAGATGCCAGCACTCCTCAGTCCTGCAATAAGCAACCTGGGGGGACGAGGAGGTGTCAAACATGTCCAGCATTCTGTTGGGTCAAGTTCAACTGGGTGTAAGAGGTATGAATAAGCCCATTTGGCCACAGATCTATGGTGTATTCTCCAGTCAACCCCAGCAATAAGGCTTGATTTTTTTAACCTCTGATCTACTAATTAAGGAATCTACTTCTCAGTCAATACCAAATTCAGAAGGGGAAGATAGGGTAATAATAGCTCTCCTACTGAAAAAGGTATGAAGACTTCCCTTAGCTGACTTTTACTGTTTAAATTGTCTTTTCCACTTATGTCCCTTTGTTCCTCCTAACTGAACAGTCCTCTACTTTCTGTTTTAGACCATCTACCTACCAACATATTCTATATTATACCTATCTCACAGAATTACAGAATTCAGACCCAAAGGGGTTTTAGGTTTCATCTATTTTCTGGGGTATAAAACATACCACCACTGACTAATTTGGAAAACATTTTTCATCTCCGCAGTAACCAATATCAAGTATTTTGTGATAATGTATGACTAGCCATATTCCTCCTATCAGGTTTTGAGCCACCAGATGGCTAAACACCAGGCAAGAAGAAATCCCCCCCTCTTTCAGCCAGTTACCACAGCTCCTCACCAATGGGATTTACATTGATAACTCAGAGTAGCAATAACCACTTGCTTCCAATCACAGTACAGCCCTTGGCACCACCCAGAGCCTTTTTACTTAAAATTCTAAGAAGCCAGGTAATCAGGTTATCCTAGCCCACAATGAATTAGAAACCACAAATCCGATCCGGGATTAAGGCTTTCACAGAAAAAGACCTTGGGCCATTGGTCTGAGGCAAAGAGCCCTTCCTTATACTTCTATTAGCTCTGAGAACATTATTATTAAGAATAATTATCTTATTATTAATCATATAATTATTATTGCTATATCAAATTTCTTAACTGTGGCCTACTCACCAAGAACTGATTAGATTATTTTTGTAGTGATGCATGATATCCTATTTAAGAAGACACAGAAGTACTTTTATACATTTGAGGAAGATTCCTATCCAAAATAGGCTACTTAACTTATATTTAAAAAGCAATTAATTGAGGCATGTCCCTCCCCTTCTCCCCCAGGAGCACTCCGGCACCTATTCCTCCCTTTCTTCTTCCCCCATAGGCATGCATCCTCTAAATTCCAAAGGACCCTACAAGACTTGCAACCAGGGACACAATGGGCAGCAGCTGCTCTTCCCAGGCTAACCCCCTGAACCTGTCTCCAAGGTCCCCTTTACTCAGACTCTCCAGTGAGCTGACAGCAGCTCAGCCTGGGCTCAGTTCTTTTCTGGAGAGCCAAAGCAGCCTCACCTATGCCCTCTCCTGTTTCGTCTTTTATCCCACGTCCTTCCTTGTTTCCTGTCCCCAGCTTTCATAAATGTACTCTCAAAATAAAAAAATAAAAAGCAAACAATTGAGATAGTAGTGTGTTTTTCCCCAAGCCTGTAGTCTGCAGAAGTGATAGTTAAATAATAACTCTAGACAGAAATATTTCATGATAAAAAATTTAATTATTATCACTACTGATTATTCCTATACTAATTACATATAGAGCCATTAATATAGAAGTCTAGTCTTCTCTCTGAAATCTCAGGAATGTATTATTCCAAGAGAGAAAATTGATTCTAGATTCCAACTTTCTCATCAAAACTTTTCATTAACAAACTACAAGTTCCACTGTTTGTAGTGTATATAGAACATAACTAGGACAGGGAACAGAAAGGGTCAGTTATGCTTGGTGTGCTGCACAGTTTTTAAGCCTCCATGAAAATTTAAGATAGATACGGAAGCTGTAAGTTAATATTAAGATAGTTTTGCTCTCTAAGGCCACACCACCAGGCCATTTTCAGTCACTCAGTTCCATTAAGGAAAAGATGAAGCTGAGATATAAGCAACCAGAATCAACTCAGCAATACTTTGATTATTATGATTAATACTGCTTTGATATTCTAGATCACTCCAACCATAAAGTATCACCCTCTCTCATAGCCAGTAAGAGTCATCTTATTAAACAGCAATCAACAACAGAAAAGCAGCTAAGTATTTTATCTTATCCCTTATCAAAAGTTCTAAGACTGTTTTACAGTATTAAAATGCTAATAAAATTACATTTTCTGTCCAAAATGTCATAAGTTTACATATCCTTTGACTCAGCAATTCTACTTCTAAGAATACATCCTAAACACTCAAATAAGGAAGTAAGTGCATATTTCTCATAGCATTATTTGTAGTATCAAAAACTGCAGTATCAAAAAACAACCAAGATATTAGTAGAGGCCTGATTAAATACACTATGAACATTCATAGGATGGAATACCATGCAGCTATTATAAATAAGGCAGATCTACAGATATTTGTAGGAAATAATCTCCAACATATGATGTCAAGTAAAAAAGCAAACAAACCAATTTATAGAACAGTATGCCATCATTTGTGTAGGAAAAAAAAAGGAATACACACATGTACACACATATACTATCTCCGAAGGATAGTAAGTCAAAAACTGGTAATGCTGTCCCTAAGACGAAGAAGTGGGGGAGCCCAAATGGCACTAGGTAAAAGGAAGACCTCTCACTGAATATACACCATACACCATTTTGTTCTTTAAAAAAAATTTTACCATGTGCATTTCTGTATTATTTTTAAAAATATATAAAGATAATACAGATTTGCTTCTTTTTTTTCAATTAGTTTACTTTCAACAGATTTTGTAATTGGTTTCAGATGTGCAGCATAGTGGTTAAACAATCATATACTTTACAAAGCATTCCCCCTGATACTTCCAGGACCCACCTGGCACCATACATAGTTATTGCAATATTACTGACTATATTCCCTGTGCTGTACTTTACAACCCCATGACTATTTTGTAACTGCCCATTTGTATTTCTTAATCCCTTCACCTCCTTCACCCAACTATTAGACTCCCTTCTAACAGCTGTCAGTCTGTTCTCTGTATCTATGAATCTGTTTCAATTTCATTTGTTCATCTATTTTGTTCTTTAGAGTCCACATATAAGTGAAATTGTATTGTATTTGCCTTTCTCTGATTGACTTCTTTCACCTC